TGCCAAGACACGCGTAAACAAAGTGCACAGAAATCGTTTTTACCACAGATAGTGGCACACACACACACACCCCCCTTTAACAGTGCCAAAGGGTAGAGGAGTAAAAGATTGGGTAAGGGTTAATTGGCTGTTGCAATGCCCATAACTTGCTTAAATACCAAAAAAAAAAAATAAACAAAAAGCGGAAAAGTTTTACCTTATGCAACCAATATCCAAATGGATCTAGCCAACGGTTGCCCGATAAATGCTTAAAGAATTGATAATCCGAAAATAAAACCCAATCCGATCTTAAGCTGCAATTTTAATTCCAAGCGGCATTTGTTTTGCTTTCTGTACTGCAATCCAAAAACAGAAAATGCTAAATCGAAACATGGCTGAATAATGAAATGTTCCAATCAGCCAAGTGCAACATCGAATAGGCCTTTGTGTGCCACACACAGTGATTTTTGCCCCAGCCTAAACTTTTCGGTTTCTGGCCATTTCTTTTGTTGTATTTTTGGGCGTTGCTTCTTTGTTTGCCAACAAATTGAACATTTTCATTAGATTTTCTTCTCGTGCAAGGGGGCGGCGAACCGTACACACGACCACAAGCCCACACGCACAAGGATGGGAGGGAGGGGCAAGGACGTGGTGGCCGGGCCGGGCCGGGGCACATTCAATTGTAATGCCCAGGAGAGTGATTCAATTGAATTTGTTTGTTTTAGTATACGGTTCATTTATTTGCCAAAGCGAATGAATAACAGCAGTTACCATCCATGCGTCGTGTACCCCGTGCCACAGATACTAACATACATACATACATACACACATACATATAAGCGAGCTACCAGCACCGCCCACCGCCCAGCTCCATGGATTTGTGTGTCATTTGAACTTTGTCGAACTTCCGGTCAAATGGCGAGCATTGGATGGTACTCCACTCCACTCCCCCACTCTTCCCCTTGAAGAACATATGCCGTGTATTATTCAAGTGCAGATTCAGGTAGTTCCTTTATATGTATATATATATATATATTTCAGGTGTAGAGTCTCCAACCCTCCCAGCCAGCACATATGGCTGTGTGTGTGTGTGTGTGTGTTGGCGCAGAAAGTTCGAGGCTGGCAGAAAGTTTTCTGCTCGCGCCACCTCCCTGGGGACCTCTTAAGATTTCATTGTGTAAATTTACTGCGGCATTCTTTGTGTCCTGAAATGCAGAAGGAAGCAAGTAGGAAACTCCTTTCGTATGTTTTGCGACCTTTGGATACCCCTACTAAGCGGATATATCCAAGAAATACTTTTACAATATAAAGAAAAGATGATGCAAAACTGAGGCAGGTTATTCTTCTCTCTGGCCTGTCAGATTGTTAGGCTATAGATATATTTATAGCCCAGGATCTGGTAGGTTGCAAACCTCTTTTCAAATGCCGCATACCCTTGCGCTCTACGATTGCGTGGCACAAGAAAGTTGAACGCAAGGAGCTGGGAATTCAAATCGCGAACTGCTTAAAAATGAACAACAAATGAAATTCCCATAGGTGCCAGAACTTTTCACTGTCTGCCGGCATTTAAATGGTACTTTTTTCTTTCTCAAAATTCTACGACTGGCTACGGTGGCGTATACGCAACGCGGCAAACTCTCCTCAGCTGCACGCCAACGCAGCGTAAAGTTTTGGCCCGCGCATGTCGCTGCTCCCGTTCACCTGCTCTTGTGTCTGCATCTGCGAGCGGGCTACATTTAATGTCATGTTTGTAAGTTTCTAGACGACGCCAACATGTAACTCCGCCCCGACCCGACCCGACCCGCCCCGCCCTGGCGATTCCTTCCGGACCAACCTTTCCGGGGCAGGCAGAAAGTCACTTTACAGCCAAAAAGAGCTCCTTAGAGCCCCCTCATTGGGGTTGCTTTCAGCTGATGTTCGCTTGTAGTAAAATATAAAATCAGAATTAAAAACTTTAAGAGCTGCAACACATTTCAATAGATCCCTCCCCTTTCATTTGCTTCCAATTAATTATAGAGGATTCACATGTACATATGTGTACATATGTATGTATTTATTGTTTGTGTATATTGTATGAACAGAGCTCCCAGAGAAAGGAGCTTATGACAATGACAATCGGATTAATATTATAACAGGGCACGCAAAACACATCAGTGAGCTGGCAAATACTCGCTGTAATGAGCAAAATAGGCTCGGAAAACAGCTTTTAGACAGTGGCCAAAAAGGATTGCAATTGTCTTGTTATCTCCGCTAATAATGTTGATCTGATTAGCCGCATAGACGGCGCCGATTCAGGCTCGGGGCTGCTACTTAACAAATCATAGAAATGGGGTGAAAGCCACCATCCCCCTCCCCCCCCCACACAATGTGCGTCAGAAGTTGGCATTGGAAGTAATTAAATTCAAATTGAATTCAGAGAGACAGAGAGAGAGAGAGGCAGAGTGATGACGAGAACGAACCGCCGAAGGCAGGGAAACTTTTTTAATCCAACCCTCATTTGTTGTTGTTATTTGCTGGTGAGTTCTTTTTTACCCCTTTCCACCATTCGACTGTATTTTTGGTTTTTTGTGCGTAGAGTTGGAGAGCTGGCCTGGGGAAGGGAGAGAGCTGCTCCTCTGGCGTGGTGGGGCGGGGCTATTAAAACTTTAAGCGAAAAACTTTGCTGCGTAAGAGATTTTAATTTCAATCAGACGAAATATGTTGCAATGGAAACAGTTCATCAGTAAAACTATTTAATTAAATTATTTAAATTTTAAATTATTTAATTATAAAGGTTTAGTATTTTATAATTGTTTGTAATAATTTTCTTTCCGCTGGAATGAGTAAAATATCCTTAATGCTTAAAAATCCGTTGATTGCTTAACCAAGCGGCACCACAGTTGGATTCATAGATCCAGCCATCTCCCATGTGCTACCTCCCATTTCCTATGCCGCGGAGTGCTCCACACTGAATACTCGTATATAGATGGCTAGATAGATATGTGTATGTAGATATGTATCTTTGCAAATTGCTCTGCACTCAGGCAGCGAGCCGCTATCGATGCTCGTAAAATGCCATGAAATACCAGAGCGGCAAATGAAGCCATAGAATGGAGTCGCGGAGTCCCGGAGTCGCGGAGTCGCGCGATGGCAGTTGCGGAAAATGTCGATGGTTATGCGAGTTGTCGGGGACAACTCTTTTGGGTGGCACACCCAACACACCTTTCCCTGTCCCCCACCATCCTCTAACAATTGCCAGCCAGATTCAGCTCTAATCGTTCGGTCTTCCCCACCCTCGTCCCTACTCTCTGGCAAGGTAGTGCGGCATGTTGCACGTTGGCTTCCAAATGAGTCACAATTAAAACGGATCCACAGGGAAAGTGTTGGCCAGGGGAGTGTGTTGGACCTGTGACTGGTTTCGCCAGCTTGTTGCATGCAGCATGATGGCTGTGTGCGGGCATACCCGCGGCACGCAATGGGTAAGGGGTAACTTACGGGAAAGCGAAAGCGAAATTGTTATTGCAACATGCAACCGCAACAACAGCAGCAACACCAGCAACAACACCAGCAACAACAACAAGAGCCACAATGTGGCTGCCTCGTCTCGCAATAATTGTGAGCAAATATTACATGAAAGCGCAGAGACAGAGCCAGAGGCAGAGTCAGAGACAGAAAGAGAGAGAGAGAGATTGGAGCTCTGGGCAAACGGCATATTATCGTGGCAGGCGATGACGATAACCACAACGACAACAGAAACAGCAAAAACAACAACACAACATCATAATTATCGACTGACTCCGCAGACCCCAGGCCCCAGGCCCCACGGCAAAAACCCGCCCGAGCCCGCACACCCACCCGCGCCAACCGCTGCGGCAATTATGCCAAAAGCGCGTTTATTATGTGAAAAGAAACCAAAGATAAAATATTGAATTCAACTCAAGCTGCACAGTGGAGTGCAGGGAAAAACGTAGTGAAAATCACTTGAGGAAAAGCCGTCAAGGAAATCGCTCGATTCGACAGCAGGGGGAAAAAAAAATGTGTGTGTGTGTGTGTGTAGCAAAAAAGAAAAGTAAAACAAGTCGAAACAAAGCGGCTGCTAGATTCCCTAGGAACGAATTTCCATGGCAGCCTTACAATATTACAATATTAATTCTGCAGAATTCTTTCAGATATTAGACGAATACGACTGCATATATCATGAATAAAAAATATAAATAAATATGAAGAATATCAGGGACTTCTTCTATTTCTGCCTTCAGCACATTGGACTCTCTGCCAGGGTATGGTATGCAACAAGCAAAGGCAGCAAAAAGTTACTTATACATATAACAAAGTTGTCGGTGCATTTTACTGATTTAGAGCGTTCGGCGGTGGCACGGAGCCATGGAGCCACAGAGGCAGCCGTCTTGTGGCGTGTTACGACATCGCTTGATGTGGAGTGGAGCTGCATTCAGAAAATCATCAACATCCAAGCGCATTAGCAGTGGCAGCAGCAATAGCAATACCAATTACAAAAGCCTGGCCATAATTCGTGCCGCAATTTCCATTGATAATTAAATAAGTAATACGAAATTTTTTAAGAAATATCTTTGATGGCTTGCTTGATTCATGGCTGCTGCTGCTGCCAAACTGTTAAGATATTGTAGAACATAGCAACCCTGTCAGTGAATTTCATATACATAATTGCTAATTGACAGCTGCATTTATTATAGTTTTACAACGACTTCTGCCATTGGCTCTCGCTTACCATCCATCCATCCATTCATACATCCATCCATCTATCAATTTGCTGTCTCAAAGGAAGCATTTTCTGTGGCCTGTAGCTGGATGATGATGCCGAGTGCAAGCATGGGGCGCGTCTGGTTGCATGTGCTCCAGTTTCCGTGTGTCTGTGTGCTCGATGCATTTTCCACGCTTTCAGTTTTTTTTTTTCATTTGTCTGTGACATAATGAGGCGTCGTTGATTGATCGATCAAGTGGTGCTAACAATAAATCCAATTCCCGCATAATATTCAGAGGGGCAGGTAACAGTTAAACGGCTCTTTTAGTCTTTCAATAAATGGTTTATATGTCTGTACTGGACTCTACATCTTGTCGTTGGAGGAGGCTTAAGTAAGCATCTTCGTGTCTGATTCACAATTAATTTGGTTTGGCCGAACTATCGACTATGTACTAACAATTTGTTTTGGCCTTTGAGGGTGGCGATGTGTGTGTGTGTGTGTTTGTACTGGTACTATCCTGCTTATCCATCCCCTTTGGAACGCGCAAGCATTACAACAATTATCTTTTATATATATATGTGTATGTGGTGTGTGTGTGTGTGCATAAGTGTGTGGTGTGTGTGCAGTGTGCATGTGTGTGTGTGTGGGGTTCATTATCAATTAAGTGTGTGCGTGTCGGTTAGTGTAGTGTATTTGTGTCCTCATCCTGTTGCCACCCATTTAAAAGTCAATGGGCGACATCTGCAGTGGTCGATCGGGTCCCAGACCCTCCCCACGCTGCTGCAGTTCCAGATCCTGCAGAAGCACACCATTGTTTGCAGCTGCATCCTGGATAAGCTCCAGCGACGAGTAGTCCTCAACGTTGGTAGCAACATCGCCTGCTGCGGCGCCTTCTGCGGCGGCGGCGGCGGCGGCGGCAGCAGCGGCTGCTGCCTTGCGACCCCGCAAACTCTTGAAGATCCCCATCTCACGTAGCTTGGCCCACATGGCAGTGGTGGCGTAGGCAGTGGCAGCGGCCGCCGTCAGCCAAGGGCTGGCCATCAACAGGGCTGCTCCAGCCGTGGTCGATCCCGCAGATCCTCCACCGGAGGCTCCATCGCCTGCTGGCTCACCTCCGGCTGCTGGATCCTCAGATGACATGTTGAAACTACAACAAAATAATTATTTAGTTTTTAATTTAATTTTTTTTTTTTTTATTTCGAATTTTATTTTGTACTTACAAGTTTGTTTGCTTTGCTTCGAAGAGACCTTAAAAACTTTCTATTTCTGTTACTGTTGTTCACAGTTCGGCTGCTGGCAGTGGAATGAATATTCTGGGCTGGTGACCCGAGGGGACGTTGGGATTCGATTTAAAGGCCTGCTATATTCGACCTTAAAAGTGTGAAAGCAGTCAAGTACGATGGCACAAATCAGTTTCAAGCCCAAATCAGTTAATGGCCCCCTGTGTATGTGGCCCACTGTGCTGGGGGGCAAACAGGGGGCCAACTGAGTTTCAGAAAATTATTGAAATTGAGTGAAAATTATTTCCATATGAAGATGGTCTGGGGAGGGGGGAGAAGGTACACACAGATACGGATACGGATACGGACACCGACTGGCAGACGAATGTGGATGTATGGCAATGAACTGCACTGTCTGTCTGTTGGTCTGTCTGTGGGTCTGTCTGTGGGTCTGTCTGTTGGTCTGTCGTCTGTCTGCCTCATGTGTGTGATTTATATTTCATAGGTTGATGAATTTTGTAACAAGTTGTCACATTTGCCATCTGCAAGAGTGTTCGTTTGTGGTAACCACAGCAGCACCCAAAAACCCATGCCCCATGCCCCATGCCTCTCTGCCACTCTGCCACTGTGCCTCTCTGGCACTCTGCCCCTCTGCTATGCTCCCAACCAAGCGACAAATGACACAACGCAAACAAATGCAATTTGCATTTGCATTTGCATTTCAAGTCTTGTGTGTGTGTGTGTGTGTGGGCACTCATATCTTGGCTTGAACAAATTTGTACACCCTGACGGATAGTGTTAATTCACTGCGCACACATTTCAGCATCACTGGAAATACGAGTATATAATTTTCGATATCAGTTCAGCTTAAGAGAGCTGAGCCAAGTGAGCCCCACACACAACAAAATTTAAATTTTAAATAATTACAAGAAAATTGAGAAAATTATGTGACTCCGTTAGCTTTAATCACTGTTTAAGCTTGGGTCGCTGCAGTTGGGGCCCAACTACACCTAAACAGCTCCTTAGCATTCCTCATTCCTGTTTGTGTGTTGCTGACGCTCCCAAAGCTCTGGCCATGCTGCCGCTTTTCCATCGCGTTGGCACTTTTCTGTTCCGCCTGTCAGTCAGAACTTGAAGCTCCCCCCCCCCAATGCACCATCAAATTTCGATACGAATTTTGCCTTGTGCGAAAAGATGTCATAGACAACATTTCATTTGCGACATGCAACATACGAGTAGAATCCCAGTTTTTCAGCCTGCCACAGATGAATGTTTTGATCGATGTGCCCAATCAAACGATTGGAAAAAAAAAAACAAAACAAAACAAAAAGACTTTCAATTATGGTTTTCCCTGTCATTTCCCGGCATAGCTTCAGAGGTAACCCGTCAAAATGCTGCAGGGTTTTTTGCGGGTTCCCTTTCCAAATATTCTGCTGCTGTTTTTCACTCATTCCATTTTGGACGTGGCTGTGGAAATGTGTGGGTAAATAAGAGCAAGAGCAGCGGCAACTGTTGTGGTTTATCCCAACGAGTTTTCTTCGATATGAAGAGGTATTCTTTAGCTATGAAATAGCTGCCTGTATATATGTACATAAATGCAACCCAAACATATTTAATATGTATAATATTTTCGCAATTTAATTTTTGGTGATGCGAACAGTGAGTGATATTCCGAGAGGCATAAGCATAAATATTCTACCACTGCCGGAAGTCGCCGCGGATGTCGAGAGTTTAAATGCGGCGTCTGTCAGCCAAACCCCCCCCAGCCACCAATCACCGCGACCCACACACCAACAGCTAACCCTTGCCACTGGTACAAAAGTAGGCTACACCATTCAACACGCGCTTTATTTTATTTTTCTCTTCATTTTTCTGTAGGCTATTTGTTTTTTTTTTTTGCAGCATTTTATTGTTGCATAAAGTTTCCAATTGCACAATGAAAATAGGCAGCCAAAATGGGCCCTGCAAAAGTTTATGGCCACGCCCCAAAAAGTTTTCAGTTTTCAGTTGCAAAATGCATTAAAACAATGCGAAAATTTCCGGAGAACCGAAAGCGAAATTTTCCACGGCGACGACTCTGTGGATTCTTCGACTAAGGTGGAATAAACAGGCCCCCCCCGCCCATCTGATAGACACTACGATTTATGTGTGTGTATGCCCATCGGTTAGACAACTTTTTGGTGATTTTCCAGCTATGAACTTTACCTATTTAATGACACTATATCATCATATACATATTTGTTTTATTTGCTTCCCCTAAGAACATGGAGCACTTTACGCACGCACCTCCCCAGCGCCAGCCCCCCCTTAGCATTCTATTTGTGTTGTCCTTGTCAGCGCAATGGATACTCTAAGACTGTTGCCTTGAAAGCCCCATAAATCTTTTTATGATTTTTGCTTCTGCACCAGAAATGACTTGATTCGCCTTTTTTGGGTCTGGTATTGTGATTGCGACTCCAATGATTGTGACGCATACAAATTTTCAATGTGTTTGTCACTAATACACCACCCCATACCCCCATACCCAATACCCTATACATACCCATTGATTTTCGCTTGGGTTTGCTTTTTTTTTTTTTGTTTTGCGCGCGATTCGTGATCCCATTTTGTGTGTTATTTCGTGAATGATTCTGTTCAAGGGGTATCCTCTGCTTCGATACTTCAGCTTTTGCTCTGGTTTTCTACGGGTAAATTTCGACAAACATTTCGCGGCAGCACGCAACGCCATTTTGGCGACGAATGCCATGAAAATGGAAAATGGCCCAAGCACGCGACGCGACGTCCCCGACTGGCGGAAGAAAAAAAATGATTGTAGAGCAAAGCCTGTGGCCCAGCATGGCGCCAACAAAGTGAACCACAATGCCCTGGCCCCAGGCCATGGGTTAGAACTGGGTAGCCGACTGGCACTGGGAGGAGCGCCACAGTTGGTTTGGGTTCGGCATAAGCCAGGCGCCAGCAAAGTTGTAAAATCGGCAAATGGCATATAAAAATCGTTGCTTGGGTTTTGTCGTTGTTGTCGTCAGAGTTCAGAGGATCCCAGAGAGTCGCCAGCCAGCCAGCCAGCCAGACTTAGAGTCGCTTTTTGCTGGCTCGCAGTGAAAGTGCAGTGTAAAACGAGAAAAAGGGCCCAGCATTTTAGTTGATTACTTGAGAACATCAAACGAATCACAGCTTGAGCAACTGCCACCAGCAGGAAGTTTCCTTTTTGATAGAAATATTTATGCAATAAATCTGATCTGATTTTATTGTTATATCTGGAAGGGGAATATACTAAAGTTGCAGCGATCACCAAGAGGGAGACTCTTCATTCAGTAAGGGAAAGATCGTTATCTCCTCTGCTCTCTGCTTTGCATTCGGCTCCTCTGCTGGCTGCGTGTTAATACTGCCCGCTCTTCGGGTCTCTGTCGCTCTCTCGCTGCTCACCCTCTCTTCGGTGCATTCCACTATTCTTTATTGTATAACCCTTGAATAATGCCAACTTGACGAATCGCCCTGTCATCCTTTAATCATGGCTTTAATGAGGTACTTTTAAAGCATTACCTTAATGGTGCCATTAAAGCGGCTGCTGCTGCTGCTGCTGTCGCCCCCAAAGAGTCCTGTAATTAAGGTCAAAGTGTGACAAAATGTTTTCATTTCCGCCTCTCTAATTTGTTGGGTTTATTTTTGTTTGGTTTTCATTCATTCTTTTTTTTTTTTTTGGCTAAAAAGTTGTATAAATTGTGTGACATCAGCCATCAGATGGAGGGGGTACAAAAACTGGCACAAATCATTCCACTCGAATCGGGTGGGTGGCAAGTGGAGCAGGATTACACACCACACACGCACACACACGCACACACAATGCAAATTAACGTGACCGTTTTATGCAATGCCAACGCATCATTAACACATGGATCCGTCCGTCCCGGCCATGTCCACGTCCACGTCCTTGTGGGAAGGACTGGCAGAGCATTAGTGTCACCAGCATTCGGCCATCAGTCAACACCTTCGGACACGCGGGGCCAACGTCAACCTTTACGTTAATTGAAATTAGCTGGCGGCTGATTTTTGGGGGGTTTAAAACACGCCCAAATACGAGATAGTACTTGGCGTGGAACGTGGGCAACATTGTTATGTTATGGAGCAGAGAATGGAGAAATGTGGGCAAGTGCTTCATCCATCCATCCCAGTCATTCACGTGCAATGACGAATGGCAGTCAGATAGAGAGAGAGAGAGAGAGAGATGAACATTTTCGATGTATTTCCCTGGGAGCACAGCTCGAGCACATCAAGTAGAGGCATCGTCAAGAGCCAGCCCGAAGGCCACCACCCAACGACGACGACGACACAAAGATATTGAAAAATGAAATGGGAGCAAAATCCTGCCACACGTTTGGCTCTGAGCTGTGGCATGCCACCATCAACCCAAAGCTTCAACTTAATCCCAGCAGAGCTTTGCCATTGCTGTGGATCACAGGCACAACACATGCAACAACAGCTACACAGTTACAGCTTCAGCTCCCAGCTCCCAGCTCCAAGCTCCCAGCTCCCAGCTGATGCAGAGCTGGTTGATGATGATGATGTTGATGATGACGATTACGATGTGGCGGTGAAGAACGTTGACAATGACGCCATTGAAAGCACTTTTCGTGGCATTATGTGCCTGAAGAAGGACCTGAATTTGTGGCTGAGATTGAGGCAGGATCCTGGGACTACGACTGGCAAGTGGGTGGTGGGGTTGGTGTGGGGGTGGTGTACTGCTGCTGAAGGCGGACAAGAGTTTTGCGGGTATTTGGCAATCAAAAAGTCATCAAATATGAATTTTACGCTATAATTTTTCACCTGCACAGGGCAGGGGGGATGCCTCCCCACCACCACCCCGCATACACAGAAATTTTTATGGCTTTTGCCTTTTTGCCTTGGCGCCCCTGTGGCACGTCTTTCAACTCAATTGCACTTTTGTGCAAGCTACGTCACCCGTTTGTGTGCCTGATGTGGCAGACACATTTGAATTGATGGCAGCCGCGTGTCCTGCGTCCTGTGTCGCACAATATATTCAATTCAATGTGGCAGCAGCTGATTGAATGCGATTTGAAAGAGGGCAAGAAGTGCACAGTATTTGTGTGCGA